CGTGCTGAGCAGGCGCGGCGGGCAGGCCCAGGCGGCTCTCTCACCAAGATGCCGCATATGTTGGCCCACTTGGCGGGCCTCCCAGTGGCACAAGCAGCCCTCGGCGCGGCGCTGGCGGTTCCCCACGGCCCCACGGGGACCAAGGTGCTCACCTCCGTCATCGCGGGGGCAGCAAGGGGCGCTGCGCAAGGCGCGTCGGCCGGCGACTCTGGTGGCGGCGATGCGGGCAGCGGCCGCGGTGCAGACGAGCTGCACATGCTCGCCGAGGTCCTCAACGTCGTCGAGGAGGCCGCTGACGCGGGTGCGGAGCAGCGCGTGACGGTCCAAGCGGCCAAGAGTGTGCCACGGCACGGAGGCGCGAAGCGGCTGGCTTCCCGCCTGGGGAGGCTTAGCAAGCTGCGGGACGGGCGCGGGCACCCAGATGCAGGGCGCGCTCCCGCCTCGACAGCAGAGGCGACGGCGAGCAGGCGAAGCCCTCCACGGCAGAGTCAGAGGGCCCAAGCCTCGAGGACGACGCCGCCAGAAACGAGCTGGGCGAGGCGAAGGCGGAGCTTGTGCCGCTGGCGACAACGGAGATGTTGGGCGACACGGCCACCGTGAAGGCCGACAAGCTCCAGCACATGCAAAGAGTACATTTACCACCAGGTGGCCATCGCGCAGGCGCTGCGGTCCGAGATCACCGAGCCCAGGCCGGCGCAGGCTGCAGGCGAAGGCGGGCACCCACATCGTGGCGGTCGCCCAGGTGGGGGCTGCGGCATCGGAGGGCCAGGCGGCACAGAGTTCGGAAGACGCGGTGGCCAACGCGAGGACGCTGCGGGCGAAGAGCGACACCGCCGAGAAGGAGGCCCAGGTTGAAGCCGACCGCATGGCTTCCACGACCGCTCCACCACCCTGCCCGCCCTCCCGTGCACGCCCATGCCGACGACGCAGAACTCTGTGTCCACGCACACCGAGATCGAGGAGAGGCACGCGGACACGGAGCCGACGCCGACGCGGCCGAGCACGGGCAGCGGGCACGCCTGGCTCGAGGAAGGCACTTCCACTCCCTCAAATCATCGTTGACGACGCTCGGCATTAGGGCCAGGCGGGGGTCTGGTGTGGCACTCCAGCTGCGCCTGTGAGAAGCGGAAGTGTGCACCGTGCCCCCCCGTGTCCGCAGGCCTTCCCGCCCGTGCCAACGGGGGAAGCGAAGGAGCAGCGACGCAGGAGCCGCTGCCGCGGCCTCTCCAGCCCACGGCGCCTGCTGCCCCCAGCCCGTCGCACTCGTCGAGCACGTCCTCGGAGACGGGCACCCGCGCCTCAGCGCCAAAGGCTGCCCACGGCAGGCGGGGGCAGGGCCGCGGCGCGGAGTCCCACGGCGTCGAGGCGCGCTCGACGACAGACGAGCGGCTGCGGGCAGCTGCGTTCCACAGCAGCGGAGGCGAGCATCTGCTGGTACAACTCCACCAACGGCACGAAGCACTCCACGTCAGTGCGGAGCCACGCCGTGCTGCCGTCGTTCTCGGGAGGGCCCGCCTCCAGGAAGTACTGATTCTCCTGCGTGGGGTCCTCGATCTAGTCCTGCAGGCCAGTGCTCTCGCCCTTCACCAGAGGCGAGAAAACGGTGGCACCGCAAGTGCAGATGCTGCCAAAAAGGGGATCCGACGGGCACGCGATGGCCCTATCGGCAGCCGCCGCCTCCGCCGTCGGCACAGCCCGCGCCCTGGCCCGCCGCCCACGCGGCCGCGCCTTGCGCTAGATGCGGCTGAGCTGCGCGAGCGTGGCCTCTGCCAGGGTGTCGGCCGACACGTCGAAGCAGCGCGCGGCGGTGTTCCGATGCGCCGTGTCGATGGTGCGGACCTTCTGCCCCGACAGTTGCGCCGCCAAGACTGGCGCGATTAGAGCAGGCCGATCGGCCAGCTCCTTTGTCAGCACCGAAGGCACCCCTCAGCACCTGCACCTGGTTCTCACGCTCCTCCAACCTGGCATCTAAATCACGAATCTGGTCGCCGAGCCTGCGGCCGCAGAGAGAGAGCCGAGGCACAAAGGTCCAGCAGCTGCTTGAGGCAGCAGGCGCGGTCAAGCGCCAGCCGCCGTGATTGTGCCGAGAAGCAGTGCAGGCCCGAGCAGCTGGAGCAAGTCTCGGTCGTGGCGCCCTTCGGCCAGGTCGAGGCTCGGTACTCAGCTGGCTCATGCGGTGGGGGCCCGCCATTCCCCTGGCGACTACGTGTTCGTTATGCGGGCGCTCTATATATCGGCGTGC